AGTATTTTATTACCATAGGCACTGTATATAGTGCCTATATTTTTTCATTTTATATATATATATATATATATATATATATATATATATATAGAAATAAAAAGAAATAACAGATATATAATCTGGTGTTCTTATTGATATTTTCATTTTTACAAAACAGTGCTCAATGTAAATTTACAGAGCATAAATATTATAAATTAAGTAATCCTATTACATTTACTCAATTTAAAAAGAAATATAGTCTATTAGTAATTAAGAGTAAAGATAACATATTCTAACCCAAACACCTCTTTTAGAAAAAAATCTTCATGTATACAAGTACGAATTCAATGGAAAAAAAATGTCGAAAAACGTTTTCTCGTTGATAAATAAAAACAAGACGATATGTGTTGAACAGTGGTAAAATGCACCCTTAACATACTGTTGGGGTGCACCCACCTTCTCATCAGAATGGACTGATCTCTCTACAACTAATAGGACAGTTCTATAGAGTTCTGGGGAGATCAGGTGACCATCACACTTCCGTCTCTCTACCAGAAGATACTGTTGGACTTTATACTCTTTCTGATTGTTACTGACTAACCTGCGTTCATTTGACTACTAATCTCTCTGTTGTAAATACCTCTTCGGATATACCAGTATTTTTCCCTACGTATGTGTTTGTCCTTATTTCAATACACGCATGCAGAAACACTCAACATCTCAACACATACCTAGACTTAACCTCTTTTTCAAACGTAACTCATAATTGATGCAATAATAGTTAATAAAAATGAACACGCTACCACCCCTGTCTAAATGATTGGATTTCTCTGTATCCTTGGAAACAAAAAAATTATGAATTGTATGTGCGTTTAAAACTCAGTAAATTTAAAAAATAACTTATTCCAAAATTTGCTTGAAGATGAAACAGAACTAATGCTTTTAATTTAATTATATAATTAAATTTGAAGTTTTTAACTTCGGTTTTTGAAACATGGTAATTCCTGTGTAGCGAAGAAACCATATTTTAAATCAGTTAATTTATAATTATATATATAAAGTTTCAGTGTGTGTTTGTGAGTGTGTGTATCCAAGCAACTTGTCCACTCCAACTGGTCTGATTTCAATGATTCATAGCTCATTCAAAAGCCATAGAAAGGTTAGGCACAGGGAACAATTTTCATTGAGCTCAGAGTCAAAGTTGCCAGATTATGAGAGGTTAAAAATATGTATTAATATATTATACTAGCCATTTTCATTGCTTTCATGTTTCGAGGGGAATAACTCTTATTTTCCTTTTGTATCCAAAATTGAAGTGCACATTTTATTATAAAATAATTTAATCTAGCTCCCGTGAAGGATTCTTGGTCTGGACTTCATCAGAGTAGCTAGGGAGGAGTAGATCTGATAGGCATCAATAAAATACAGAAGAATTCAAAATTGATTGCTTCATTTCAGTACTAAATTAATGTTTAAGCTTACCTTTTGAAAGTTCAATGATAATTCTTCTGCTGCCACTTAATTTAAAGACAATTTGATGTACATAGATCCTTATTTTCCGTACAAACAATTATTTTTATTTCATGGGTGACAGAACAGGGGACAATTTATAAGATAAAATTAATATAGTTTAAAGATAGAAATTAGAATTAGTTACACATTCAACATTTGAAGAGTTAGAGAAATTTAATAGTTAATTAAGTAAAACCTATTATGGAATCTATATGAATAAATGCGAAATTGGAGCACAATTATCCAACAATATTAATTTGATATTTACTCGACCCCCACCCCATAAAAAGTCACATTGTGACACAAGGTCAGTTGTGGGGAGCCCAAACACGTACACCCAGGCTAGGAGCAAAAAATTCCCCAAGACCCCGCAACTGTCGGTTGCGCTGGCCTCAGTGTGAGCACCGATCTCTCTCTCTCTAGTGCAATGAGAGGTTGCGGCCTTGGGCAGCTGTTTCCCAGGGCTGGAAACCTCTCAGTATAATTTTCCTCACTTGCAATTCTGTCTTTCAATGGAGCCGCCCTTGTACACCCAGGTTAGGAACAAAAATTGTCTGAACCCCCTCCCCACAGCCATTAACAATTATAACGAAAACATGTTATAAACTGCTACATAAATGCAATCACATTTTGACTCTGTGTGTGTTTCTCCTCAGGCAGCAGTAGTGTGTGTGTGTGTGTATATATATATATATATATATATATATATATATATATATATATATATATTGTTTCATTTTAATTTTAATCCACTAGATGGGACAAAAGCTGAGTGGATTAAAGTGTTGATTTGTGCTTCTGGTGACATAGTAATTGTGAGTTTAATCCCTGTGTCAAGCAGTGTGTGTACTTGACAATTATTAACCAAGCAGTATCAAAATAAGAACTAGACAAAATATCCCTAGATGTGTTCAGCAGAATCCAAATAATTTACCACCATAGATTAAATAAAGGATTTAGTTCAAAATTCCCTGTAGGTTATCTGGGTTGACAAGCATCTGATTATGGCCAAAGGGCACAACAGTCGAAACGTGTGGATAATAACAAAGATGATGAAATCTGAGTGTAAATATGTAATATGTGTACAATAATAAACCCTTATCTCAGAAACCATTCTTTTTTTTTTTTTTTTTTAAACGTTTTTGTCACATTTCAGCTCGACCATTTGTTAACATAATAATTTAAATCTTGATTTGTGCCAGACTAAGCTTAGTTTAATCACTATCATTAAGCTTTTAATAAACTGCTAAATATCTGTCTATATATCTGAGATGAGGGATTATGAACATTATTTACATTAATCGGACTATTATCCTCATCTTTGTTGACATATTTATTACAACATTTCGGCCACTGTACGCTCCGGCCTTCTTCAGGTGGTTGGAATGTCAAACTAAACACTTTATTTCGCTGGGGTAGACTGTTCTAGATCCATGTGCCATGGATGGTGAGCAGAATAAAGGGTTCAGTTCGACATTCCAATTACCGGAAGAAGGCTGGAGCATACAACGGGCAAAATGTTGTAATAAATATGGCGACAAAGATGAGGATAATAGTCTGAATAATGTAAATAATGAACTGGTAAATAATTTGAGATTCAGTCACATTGGCAAAGTCTTGTATTTGGCACTGCGAGAGAAATTGTCCAGCTAATGAGGATTTGTGTATGATTAATTGTGATCTCTTGCTAATCAATCAATGTTAGATTACCGCAAGAATTATCTACAAATATTGATCTATGTCTACCTAAGATGGTGGAAAAGGTTATTTTCATTTTTTTTTCCTCCTCAGTGAACTGTTCTGCTGTTCATATAAACTAGTTTGGTACCAGTCTCTACACTGACACAATAAGGTCAAATTTCAAATCTAAATTTTGTTCATTTAAAACAGAATATATTTTTTTTAATCATTTCATCCCAAGCAAGACAATAAAGCCACTAAGATGCAAGGGGTTAGAGAATGAGAAAGATTATTAAGGGCAGGGAGAGAACAGTAAAAGAGCATTTTAACTTTTGTTTATAAATACTTGTTGCAAGATAAAATCCTTACATTTGCTTTCATAAAGTCCATTAGTGGATGAAAAAACATTGGCTAAGATAAGTTTTCCTTTTGTCTTTAATTGTATACTGTGTGTAACAGCAAAATTGTTCGAATCATGTAACAGCAAAATTCTCCGAATCATGTAACAGCAAAATTCTCCGAATCATGTAACAGCAAAATTGTCCGAATCATGTAACAGCAAAACTGTCCAAATCATGTAACAGTAAAATTGTCCATTTGTTAGATTAAGCTTTGAACTGTTGTGTCTTAGAAATGATTAAAGATATTTTACTGGAATTCTTCATGGTTTTTATAACACTATTGAACTCTGAGCAATAATAATGTTTAATTACTCTCCAAGTTTAACAGAATCGCAATGAAATCGATTATAAATAAAAATGGCATGTTCCTCATTAATTAATTATAGCTAAGGATCGGAAGCTCATGAAGGATTGAAATTTCAAATATATATATATATATATATATATATATATATATATATAGTATTCTGAGATCATTTTCCAACTTATTCAAGATGATCTTCACCCTCTCTAACCTTCTAATTTTCTGTCCTGGAGTAACAAGGTGCATCACAGGTTTCATGTATGTTTTCATTTTCAAGTCATTTTTCACTGCTCATTGGACTGTCATAGCTGAAACTCCTTTCTCATATGCCAAATGTCTTAAGGATTGAGTTGGATCTTTTCTAATTGATCTCTTTAGCTCTAAGTTTAAATGATGATCTCTCTTCCTGTAGTGACCTCCTGATCCACTATAATCAAATGATTTGTGTGAGTGGTGTGGTTGTCATTTTTTAGGAACTGAGTTGCATGACCCTCATACGTCAGACTCAACAGGAGAGTCCAGCATATATATATATATATATATATATATATATATATATATATATATATATATATATAAAATTTGAAATTGAATAAATAGCTTTATCTTCCCAAACCAAAACAGAACTATTAAATAAGCGATATAAACAAATTTTTACTACATTAATAAAACACCAATTAAAATAAAAAATAAATAAAGGAATACATAAGAAATAAAAAATAAAAATAAATAAAAACAAGCAAAATAATTTAACCCAAATAAATAAACAACTTCCAGCAAAATAACCGGCAAAATAGACTACCCACAATGCACTACTGACCCGTATATATAAATAGCTGAGAAAAAAAACAATACTTATGGCCTGATGATTGCATCTAGCATGAAACAGCCTTCTTCTCTAAGTGTTGACTTCAATGTTCACATTTATATTTATATATAAAAGAAAGGATAAATATTTATCTCAAAATCATTTTCACCTGATTTATGTTAAATTCACATTGAATTTTTCAGGTGGCGGTGGATTGGCATTATTTGGCAGTGGGAATCTTCATACATGGGCAGAAGACCTGAGTCAAGTTCTCTGTCGATTTACAGACTGCAGGAAAATTGATCGAAAAAAACTGATGGATGATAGTGCATATCGGTAAGTTTCCATTTTCCTCAAGTTCTAACGTTTCACTTTCATGATTTCATTTTTCATGGTTTTATCAACTCTCTGCAGGCTATTTAGGGTCAGAAAATATTTTTAGATTGTAAGAATTTTATTTTTTATCTATCTTACTTGTGATAATAATTTAGTTTAGTCTGAATAATTAACCCATATTTAAGACTATTTCATATTCATTGCAAAACAAAAGGCTTGTAAAATATTCCAAAATAGAAAAGCAGCCCCTGCTGACAAATTTAACAAATCCAAAAATATATATTGTTCTACCTGCTAACTCTATCACAACTACAATTGAAAAGAATTTGTCTAAACTAAACATAAAGTTTGTTGCAATTAGTCTAAAACAAAAGTTTTAATCAAAGAAAACAAAACAAGCAAAAACTTGTAAGAGGAATTTAGTCTATCACCTGTAAGGATTGCCAGGAAGAATATATTGGAGAAACTTCAAGAAGTTTAAATAAAAGATTATATGAGCACAAAAGAGGAAGTGACACATTAAGTGCATTAATTGCTCACTGCAATGGAACTGTGTAGAAGAGATGACAACTTATCTCATGTGGCAAAGCAAGCACGTCCAAAACAAGTGAAAGAAAGGAAAAAGAAATATGGCCACCATGACACCTTAATTTAAGAAAGACACAGAGCTAGGTGAATTCGAGAATATGGTTGAGTGTATGCAAATTTTTTTGCAAGATCAGCTGGGCATAAAAACAATGCGAGAGAGTATAGACAGTTCATTCTTGAATGTGGGGCTGCTTGTACAGAGAGACTTTGTCGATCGGAAAGTGATTAATTGGGTCAGTTTCACACACTGATCACAATTTTGACATAAAAAAATGTCACAAATTAAAAGAGAAAACAGTTCACTAAGATGAAAATGTTTAGAAAGGGCTTTAATTGCAGGTTCAGCTGCAGTAAATTTGCGTCTAGGCGTCTTATGTTTCACCAGTCTTGGAAAAGCTGTTATAACAATGTAGGCATTTAGTGACGAAGGTGATGGAAAGAAAAAGGATGTAAACGAAATTGGCTAGATTATATACCCAAAATACATACAAAAGAATTCTTTTTTGTTTTTAATTTAAAATTCTCCACATCTCTTGTTAATGCTCATGTGTCGTCACATTAATGTAAACAAACCTAATCCAATGATGTCCTAAAGAACAAAATGCATCACACAAAACTTTCTCCACTGTCATACATCCTTCCTCCAAAACATATATATATATATATATATATATATATGACATTTTTTATGTTTATACGTTCTTTTTATAGATACAAATATTTAAGTAAATGCTCTGTTTATAATAAACAGTATTAAACAACATTTACTGGCCTGAATCTCCAAGAAATTTTCATAGAAAATATGCGTCCTTGGACAGGAATCAAACCGGTATCCTATATAGAACCATCATATATCCTGACGTGTCTCAACTGATTAGGCCACAGAGGAGCATTCGGTTAGCAAGGTCGATTTTACTGTTTTTAAACTACAATCTTCCATGATTCTCTCACGTACATTCATATCTGCTCAAAGCATATCCAAATGTAAACAAATAATGCCACACATTATGAAATGGACAAAGTCTGACACTTACTTTAAGATATTTTTATGTTTATACATTCTTTTTATAGATACAAATATTTAAGTAAATGCTCTGTTTTATAATAAACAGTATTAACAACATTTACCAGCCTGAATGTTGGAGAAATTTTCATAGAAAATATTCGTCCTCCGACAGGAATTGAACCTGTATCCTTTACAGAACTGTCATATAGCCTGACATGCCTTAACCGATTGGGCCACAGAGGAGCATTCGGTTAGCAAGGTTGATTTTACTGTCTTTAAACACAATTCTCCATGATTTTCTCTCATTCATTCATATCTGCTCAAATCTGTATCTATAAAAAGAATGTATAAACATACAAAATGTCTTAAATAATTGTCGGACTTCCATTTCATAATGTATGATGTCATTTGTTTACATTTGGATATGTTGTTAATACTGTTTATTATAAACAGAGCATTTACTTAAATATTTGTATCTATAAAACGTATATATGGAATGCATTTTAAAAAATATGTGAAGATATAGTGGAATTTGGTTGTTTCATGTCAGACTAAAAAGGCTTTGTACATGATGGTCAATGTTACCCCACAATGGGATAACTTTGACCACTATAGTTGAACCTTTCCTATGTATATAAGTGCTCGTTGCAGTTGTGTCTGGACTTGTAACTTTGACCACCTATAAAATAAGGCTTCAGACAACGTTTGTTGCAGGATTTCCATATATTCTTTCAATTTAATCCAAAATGTTGAAACTAAAGATAAATTGCATCAAGTACATTACATGGAAAAGAAATCTTATGACTGATATCAAAAAAGATAAATCAAGAAAAATCACTCACTTTAGTTTTCCTGTGACCTTCTTCCTTGAAATCTTGACAGGAAAGGAAAGACATGCATAGTCTTATCAGAACAATGCATTCTGGGAAATAGCTTATGCCCAGGCCTTTTAAAAATTGCTTCCAGCTTAGTGGTCAAAAGTTCTGATTGTTTTGGGACAACTTTGACCACTCTAGTTGACAAGTTCATTGACCTTCAAAAACATGTTTCTTGTTACTTGACCTCTAAGCTTCTCAAATAACTTTTTTTTTTCCTATAAAGTTGCTTTAAAGACTTCCCACCAACAACATTTTAAGCATTTTTTATACACAGAAAAAATCATTACTTCCACACGCATATCAGCTTGTCACCATGCTTAATTCAGTTTGCTTTTGCCATAGTTTTTTCTAATTGTGATATGGGATGCTTAATCTATCGTAAATAGTGTACATAATACCTCATCTCAGAAATATAGGCAGATACTGAAAGGCCAAAACGTAATAAATATGGCGACAAAGATGAGGACAATAGTCCAAATAATGTAAATAGCATACATAATACCTCATCACAGAAATGTAGACAGATACTGAAAGGCCGAAACGTTCTAATAAATATGGCTACAAAGATGAGGACAATAGTCCAAATAATGTAAATAGTGTACATAATACCTCATGACAGAAATATAGATAGATATTCTGAAACCTTCTAATAAATATGGTGATAAAGATGAGGACAATAGTCTGAATAATGTAAATAGTGTACATAATACCTCATCACAGAAATATAGACAGATACTGAATGGCTGAAACGTAATATGGCAACAAAGATGAGGACAATAGTCCAAATAATGTAAATAGTGTACATAATACCTCATCTCAGAAATATAGACAGATACTGAAATATCACATTGTACTTGGTTCACATATTTTTAGAAATCTTATAAATAAATATTACTGAGGGAGTCAAAAGTGTATACAGTAATAGTGGTGTTAAGGGAATAACCGTCATTTTGACACAGTTTTTTTTTTCTGCAGAACAAATGTTAAACATCACAAAACTTTTTGAGCAACCCAATAACTTTTATTTTTCTCTTTTGCTTGCAGTGAATACTATTGGGCGAATTATGCGACAGGACTGGGTGCATCTTTGCACGAACTCGGTCATACATTTGACCTTGCACACACAAAAACTGGAATAATGGCACGAGGTTTTGATGACATCCATCGGGTTTTCACTGTGCAAAGGAATCAAAATACTAGTAATGAACGTGAATACAGAACTTGTAGCCGACAAAGTTCCCCACGAATGCTTTCCCTTGTTGATATTGAAGGACTACCAAACGAAAGCCATACACGACAATACAGAGATACGTGTTATGGAAGCCCATTTAGAAAGGTAAGGTCCTTTAGTTACTTTGATGTTCACAGCTTTAAGTTGGTTTGGTTTATTTTGTTTTACTGCATATCAACACCTCAATGGGTTATTTAATGCCGACAAGATTTTTAGGATAGGTTCGTATGAATAGAATATGTATTCTTTGTAAGAAATCAATTTGGTTTAGTTTTTGTTTTACGGCATATCAATGTCAATGCGTTATTTAATGCCAACAAGATTTTTAGGATATGTTCATATGAATAGAATAAGTAATCTTTGTGAGAAATCAGTTTGGTTTGGTTTGATTTATTTTGTTTTATGGCATATCAACACTTCAATGGGTTATTTAATGTTGACACAATTTTTATTGCTGCTAATAATTTTTACATTTTCATAGTGTTTTGACCCCAGGTTGGGGGTTAACTATTTACCCATAGCTGGGACCCTAACAGGTGCTGCCACCCCAGGTTAGAATGGACCTGGGAACACCAGCAATTAAGAGGTGGTTACACACTCCTCAAAACCTCTTGATCAGAGGCCTTGCTGCTGGATGTAGTTTATTGCCTTACCCAGGACACAGATGTTGTTTATTGTCATACCCAGGATGGATGTTAAAGTTGGACAGGATAAGATGTTAGATGGAGCTGCATAACAGGCCGTGATGCTAAAGTGTCGACTGCTGGTATTCTGTTTTGTGAATCTGAGAAACTAACATATTTTTACCTACTTATTGAAACCTGTAGACGTCCTCTAAAGAATAGGGCCACAATAGCAATATTCTTCTGATTTAGGGCAGCATGAAAAAATCCTCATAGTGCTATGGTTTGAACAAGTTTGAGGTGTGCCGTCCAAGGATATTTCTTTTGATTAAGAAACAGATTTTTCTTTTTCATATTGCTTCCAGTCTGGTTTGTTAGATTCACTTCCTCACAAATACCTTTGGGGAAAGGCATGAATCCATCTCTTCTCTCCTCCGCTATGGGTTGAATAACAGGACAGACTGGGTTCTTTAGCCTTGGTTGGCAACCAGTCTACCGCAGAAAGAAATGGAAACCTATTGCAGGAAAAAATCTGCCTCATCAGTCATGTATTGAAAGATACATGGTCGCCCAAGTGTGTATCACGTATGGTACTTAACTGACTGATAGGTTATCTGTCTATATTTCTGAGATGAGGTGTTGTAATTATTTACACTATTTACATTATTTGAACTGTTGTCCTCATCTTTATTACCATATTCACAACATTTCGACCATTGTATACTCCGGCCTTCTTCAGAATCTGTCTATATCTCCGAGATGAGGTATTGTAATTACTTACGCAGTTATCAGTGTTCAGTTGTTCTCATCTTTATTACCATATTCATGACATTTCGGCTGTTGTATGTTCTGGCCTTCTTCAGGTTATATTTGTCAAAATTTTGAACCAAACTCTTTATTTTAGTTCACTGGGATAGACTGTTCTAATTCCACATACCATGCCTTTCGATATCTGTTTTAGTTAATTCACCTTGATAACTCTTTAAGTTTTTGTTCTCTCCACGGAGGCCAGGGTTTGAACTTGCAACTCTTTGGGTCAAGTTACTTTTTCAATCACTCAACCAGCACTTTTTATCCACTGAGCAATGATTGATCCAAAAAGTGACTTGACTCAAAGAGTTGTGAGTTCAATCCATAACATATCCAAAGACATAATTTGGTGGGGGGGATGGGTTTCACACAGTGGCTGGTCTACCAGCTGCTCGAGTTCAAAGGATTAAAAATCTGTTATTAATTATAGGTTTCTGCCTCTAACTCATTAATGCCACTGTCCCAAAAATGGGATTGTAATGGTAATGATAACATTAGCCATTTGGTAATGTTAACCATTTCATAATAGTAATATTAGCCATTTGGTAATGGTAACATTAGTCATTTGGTAATGTTAACCATTTCATAATAGTAATATTAGCCATTTGGTAATGGTAACATTAGTCATTTGGTAATGTTAACCATTTCATAATAGTAATATTAGCCATTTGGTAATGGTAACATTAGCCATTTGGTAATGTTAACCATTTCATAATAGTAATATTAGCCATTTGGTAATGGTAACATTAGCCATTTGGTAATGTTAACCATTTCATAATAGTAATGTTAACCATATGGTGATGTTAATATTAGCTTTATGGTAATGGTAATATTAGTCATTTGGTAATGTTAATGTTAATATTAGCCATTTGGTAATGTTAATATTAGCCATTTGGTAATGGTAATGTTAATATTAGCCATTTGGTAATGTTACTGTTAATATTAGCCATTTGGTAATGTTACTGTTAATATTAGCCATTTGGTAATGGTAATGTTAATATTATCCATATGGTAATGGTAATATTAGCTTTATGGTAATGGTAACGAGACTGTGCCCTTCGTAGGCAGAGAGTTCAACCAACATAGCTGGAGACGAATCTCTAACTAATAGCCGAAACAAGTCCCCAAGTATATCCTGTGCTCATTATATATAGTTACTGATATAGTTGTCCACATATGCGATAAGGAGTGTGGGACATTCCATTACAACATTATTATTATTGTTGTCTGTGCAAATGAAATTTTGCTCATTATAGACCCACATCGATGTTGATGAACCAAAAACTTCAAATTATTCTATCTTTTTTACTCTCTCTCTCTTTCTTTTGCCAGGTCATTCCAAACGCCATAAATGGCAGCATTAATTTGGCGCGCTCCTCCCCCTCCTCTCCGCTATTACTGCACAAAGTGGAAACTGATTTCCGACAAGTTTCAGCGCAGACCTCTTTAACCATGTGCGTGAAGAACTATGATGGGACTGAGACGCACCGGACGATCATGCAAGATGAAGGACAAGAGACAGTTACAGAAGTAACTGTTTCTCAAGATGGTAAGATGCTCGCCAGAAAGTTCAGAAAAACAGGTAGATACGCTTCTCCGCATCTAATTTCACTTATTCATTGCCCTGCACTGGTCACATGGACTTTTAGCAATTCCTTTTATCATTAAAACAGGTTTCTGAAAGACTTGCCGAAGCAATAATTTAACAGTTGATTTAATATAATAATCTAATAGTTAATAGTTTAATGATTGATCCGAATACACATCTTACAAGCAGAGAAAAGTGGTCATAGAATTCATTCTCAGGATGGTGGAATCTCGGCTCTCTCCCTACACACTTTCTTATCCTTTGTAGCTCTTAATAAATTTTGTCTTTTTGTTATTTCTCCTGAACCTTTTTCCACGAGCCATTTATACAATATATGTTGGCGATAATGGCTCTCCACACTTTCCTGTCCTTTGTAGCTCTTCATAAATTTTGTCTTTTTGTTATCTCTCCTAAACCTTGTTCCACCATCCATTTATAAAAGCTCCTTCCTCTTCTTCTATGTGCTGTGTCCCTTCAGGATGTTGGCAATCATGGCTCTCCACACTTTCCCATCTTTTGTAGTGCTTAATAAATTTTGTCTTTTTGCTATTTCTCCTAAACCTTATTCAGCCATTTATACAATATATGTAGATGATAATGGCCCTCCACAATTTCCTGTCCTTTGTAGCTTTTCATAAATTTTGTCATCTTTCCTAAACCTTGTTCCACCATCCATTTATACAATATGTAGGCGATAATGGCTCTCCACACTTTCCTGTCCTTTTTAGCTCTTCATAAATTTTGTCTTTTTGTCATCTCTCCTAAACCTTGTTCTGCCATCCATTTATACAAGCTCATTTCTCTTCTTCTATGTGCTGTGTCCCTTCAGGATGTAGGCGATGATGGCTCTCCACAATTTCCTGTCCCTTGTAGCTCTTCATAAATTTTGTCTTTTTGTTATCTCTCCTAAACCTTGCTTCACCATTCATTTACTCAAGCTTGCTAGGTACCCTATTGTTCAAATTAATTGAAACAAAATGAATAATTCCGTTAATATTTACTTTTTTTTGACTTCCATTCCATATGCTCCTGGTCTTTCAAAAAGTTTGTTGGTGAAGACCTGGAGCTCACTTACTACCTGCCATGAAGTCAATATCATCTGCAAAACATAGGTTACAGACAGGTCTACCACTAATAGACATACATACTATCTTATAAAATTAGAAACAACAACAGACTAAGACTTGTCTAATTTGCTGAACTCATTCTTTCCATAGTTTTTCTTGATACCATTTTGTTTCAGTAGATCTATTCTGGGGTCTTCTTTTTTCTTTTTTTTTTTTTTTTTTTTCAGGTGTACGATTTATTGGGGAAAGAGGAGACATATCTGTATATTACTTGAAATGGATAAACAAGGAAACATGAGCAAAGATCATTTTAATGGTCAGATAGTATTAAACTAATGTTATAAAAAAAAGCTCATTATTCAATTGAGAAAATTGTGTTAAAGAGCCACTTATTTTAATGGTTAGACAGTATACAGCCTAAAAAGCTGTCATAAAAAGTCACTTATTCAACTAAGGATGTAATAAAAATATCTGGTTTGAGGATATTCAACCATAAAAACGTCTGGTTTGAGGATATTCAACCATAAAAACGTCTGGTTTGAGGATATTCAGACATGAAAGAAAATCTGGTTTGAGGATATTCAACCATGAAAAAAGTCTGGTTTGAGGATATTCAACCATGAAAAAAGTCTGGTTTGAGGATATTCAACCATGAAAAAAGTCTGGTTTGAGGATATTCAACCATGAAAAAGTCTGGTTTGAGGATATTCAACCATGAAAAAGTCTGGTTTGAGGATATTCAACCATGAAAAAGTCTGGTTTGAGGATATTCAACCATGAAAAAAGTCTGGTTTGAGGATATTCAACCATGAAAAAAGTCTGGTTTGAGGATATTCAACCATGAAAAAAGTCTGGTTTGAGGATATTCAACCATGAAAAAAGTCTGGTTTGAGGATATTCAACCATGAAAAAAGTCTGGTTTGAGGATATTCAACCATGAAAAAGTCTGGTTTGAGGATATTCAACCATGAAAAAAGTCTGGTTTGAGGATATTCAACCATGAAAAAGTCTGGTTTGAGGATATTCAACCATGAAAAAGTCTGGTTTGAGGATATTCAACCATGAAAAAAGTCTGGTTTGAGGATATTCAACCATGAAAAAAGTCTGGTTTGAGGATATTCAACCATGAAAAAGTCTGGTTTGAGGATATTCAACCATGAAAAAAAGTCTGGTTTGAGGATATTCAACCATGAAAAAAAGTCTGGTTTGAGGATATTCAACCATGAAAAAAGTCTGGTTTGAGGATATTCAACCATGAAAAAAGTCTGGTTTGAGGATATTCAACCATGAAAAAAGTCTGGTTTGAGGATATTCAACCATGAAAAAAGTCTGGTTTGAGGATATTCAACCATGAAAAAAGTCTGGTTTGAGGATATTCAACCATGAAAAAAGTCTGGTTTGAGGATATTCAACCATGAAAAAAGTCTGGTTTGAGGATATTCAACCATGAAAAAAGTCTGGTTTGAGGATATTCAACCATGAAAAAAGTCTGGTTTGAGGATATTCAACCATGAAAAAAAGTCTGGTTTGAGGATATTCAACCATGAAAAAAGTCTGGTTTGAGGATATTCAACCATGAAAAAAGTCTGGTTTGAGGATATTCAACCATGAAAAAGTCTGGTTTGAGGATATTCAACCATGAAAAAAAGTCTGGTTTGAGGATATTCAACCATGAAAAAGTCTGGTTTGAGGATATTCAACCATGAAAAAAGTCTGGTTTGAGGATATTCAACCATGAAAAAAGTCTGGTTTGAGGATATTCAACCATGAAAAAAGTCTGGTTTGAGGATATTCAACCATAAAAGTTGTAATAATGAAAAGACTAAACAAAAACGAATAAAATCTTACATTTGATGCCCAGGCAAGTCTTTCAAATCCTTGTTCCTTAGAAATTTAACAATCACTCTTGAATCCTTAATAATCCATTAGCATTTTATGAAGACAATTTTGCACCTGTATTGATGTTTGTTTTGTTTACCATCTGCACATACTCACCTGAATGTATTGTTTCTTTGTTTTTGCTAATATTCAACTTTTTACCAATGAAAATGCAAACTGTAAAGAATTGAGCCAGTCAACTTTTGTGAGTTATCTTGATTAAATTAACGAATAGCAATTCAACTTCTGTGTGCTGCATCACTTCAGGGAATAGGCGATCATGGTTCTCCACAACTTCCTATCTTTTGTGGCCCTTGGCTAAAGCTCTCACCCACTGTTTTGCCATTCATTCACACACATTTTGTTAAAATCTTTTTTCATTCACATGAAAATCCTTAACGGTAAACATAACTTATTTCATGTTCTTTTGCAATTTTCAATTTTTTTTTTTTTTTTTTATGTGGTAAATTAAAGCAAAACAAAAACAAATTACGATAGAAATCAAGATTAAAGTTAAGAAGTGGCGAAAAAATTGTACTTAGAAAAAAAAAAAACCTTTATTTACATCAGCTCTCAAATGTCTAACTCATTAGAGAATTTACAAAAACAAATCTGCTGTGTTTACTTGTTGATTATGCTTTTTGTGCCAGAAACAAATGCTGTCTGGAACAGTCTTGCTGAGAGGAACCTTTCAACTCCTAAAAAAAAGTTTTCAGGTTCAAATTGACATTCCACTAGGAATTTTGAATTTTTGGAACAAAATGCTCATGCCATGGAGAAAATTATCTGGAAAATAATAAGCATTCCTTCCATAGCAAAAAAACACTGGGGCACCTCTATATATTGTAATGGTTAACAAATATATCTCGCTAGAACAATTACTCTCACTGGATGCCACATACTTTCAGCCTTATGCAACAACTAAACTATGCTTAGTAAATCATTATTTATATATATATATATATATATATATATATATATAATTTTGGAAGTGATGTCCAGCGTCTTTTAAAAGGTCTCTGGTGAAATAAACTATTACAATTGAGCCTTAAAGTGGTCTGTTTTTCTTTAACTTATTAGCTCTGAATTTACATTGAGCTCTCAGGATTTCATTCTCCTTGGGACTACCCATACGGATTACCAAGTTTTTCGTAACTTAACTATATATATATATATATATATATATATATATATAATAAAAAAAAAAAAATCAAATTATCTATTATAAGAATTTTAAGACAGCTAACCTTATCCTCAAAAATAACAACACACCAGTTAAGTCAAAATTACAAAGAACGAACATTAACTATGAGTTCAAATGCTCTTTAAGGAACCGTGTTCCTGATCAAACCGGACTCATAAATAATTACATCGGTTACACAACTACATGCTTATCTAGACACCTTATGTTACACCTATCTGATCATAGCTCCATTAGAACCCATTTAGACACACACACGAACTTACCAGACTCCATTAGAAACATATTAGTAGAAAACACAAATATAATAATTTCATCCACCTACAGATTAAAAATAATGAAAGCTTTAATAATAAAAAAGAAAAAGCGAACTGTTAACAATATTAACTACGAACAAGGCCACTATGTGCTAACCATATTCGGAGATGAAGAACATCTCTACAATACACTAAAACATATATATCATGCACACACTCAATTAAGCTGAAAAATTGAATCATCCTTGATAATGGCTAAAGTTATAGCCGAAATCACTCAGAACTATAAAACATTTGGACAGATTTTACACACTTCTTTGTCCAGAAAAGAAAGCTCTTGTTCGAACACATGAAAAATTAAATAAAAAACTTAACTGTCGTAGTACCTTGTTTGTCATTTTTAATGAAACATGCATATATATATATATATATATATACGAGTACTGTTGTCATATTTGGATATCAGCTGTCCAGTCATCACTTTGAGACAAATTATTTTTCACCATTGCACCCTTCTCACACAGACGGGATGTCACATGTCTCTCACTGCTCTATCACTACTTCCATGGAAAGTGCTCAGACGAACTGCATTCCTGGCTTCTGACAAGTCTAACCTTCACAGCCAGGACCTGCCACACCCCCCACATTGTAGCAAACCCCTCTCCTTCTCTCTGTATTCCATCGGTGAGAAGTAAGTTCCACACAAACAGCTTCTTCCCATGAACCACTGCTCTCTGCTCACTATAATCTTAACCTGTTCAATTCTAGGGTTAATCATTTATCTTTCTCTCTATTCACATAAACTATTTCTCATTATATAACCCTCTACCTCAAGTGGCTCCCGGGCCTTGTACAGAAAAGAAAAAATACCATGGACTGAATATTTAAAGTTTTAAGGAAAATGGAAATAAAAAGGACACTTATACTTAGAATCAGAAATAGACAGTTGAAATTTTCAGGGCACATAATGAGGAAAGAGGGCTTGGAAAATTTAACACTCAAGGCAAGAGGAATAGAGGAAAGCAGCAACTAACCTATCTAGTGAACTTATGTAAATGGTTGCAAGAACAGGGATTAGGAGAGATAGTAAAAAGACAAACATTGCTAAGAGCTACAAAGGACAGGAAGTTGTGGAGAACAATGATCGGTCACGTCCTGAAGGGACGTGGCACATAGAATAAGAATATATAGATGTGTGTATAGTATGTGACTCAACTCAGATGATGCCAGAATAGAATTTTCACTCAATTTTTCGGAGGAGTCAGGTGCATTGGCAGGTTGACCTGAGAAGTAACCTTATCACCAAATGCAGATCCACACCTCACACCCCAACATGTCGGCATGTGATCAACATAGTTGTGCTTAGAATGAGGGCAAGTGGAGGAAAAACCATGTGAAATATATAGAAACACCCACTCTAGGGAGATATATATATATATATATATATATATATATATATATATATATATATATATATATTCTTTCTTTCTTTGAGCACTCTTTGAATTTATATCCTCTTTGGAATTATCCTTACTAATTATCTAATAATATTATATATATATATATATATATATATATATATATATATTCAGTTTCATGGATATTAGTTTCTAACCCTGAATTTCATGTTTCTGTGATTATCAGACAAACTGGTTTATTTTTTTAAATATTTTTTACGTAAAAGTGTGAAACCCGAGGTTACAAACTACTATTTATGAAACTGAATATGTTATCGCTATCACAGATATTGAGCACTTACCACTAAATACCATATATATATATATATATATATATATATATATATATAGTTTTAAGGTTTAAGGTTTGCTATATTTATGGAATAAAGTTCTCAATATCAGGGATAAAGCATATGTAAATATAAAAGTGAACATTGAAGTCAACACTCAGAGGCACCTGATGATTGCACTTATTTATTTATATATATATATATATATATATATA